ATGAAAAAAAAAATTTGGATTCAGACACGGTTCACACTAGCCGACTCCAAAGTTTGGAGTATGACTGAGTAAAACTTTGATCAGACTTCACACTCTATGGATCTAAGTCGCACCATTTTAAAACGGGTGCCATTGGATATCAAAGTTGCATGACAAGTCAGAGCCATTCTTTTCAAAGTCACATGAAAACCGTGTGAAAGGAGCTTCAGTTCCACTGAAGTTTTTTTTTTTTTTTTTTAATTAAAATGCAGCAGCCAGTTGCAAGAATCGTCTTTACCATTTACCCGTCTCAATATCCCATCACTTAACTCACTGGAAACAACGAACGTCACAATGGCCAGGAAATGACTGGGCTATAATACTATACAGCACACATGTTTATATTTCCATCTACAAGACACTAGACAAGGATATAGGTAATGGAACTCAACACCTATAAAACATTTGAGTCGTTCACATGCACTTCCTGGTCCATGCAATGTAACATAGACCAGCCTATGTATAATTGATGCTAATCTTACATTACACATCAGTAGAATACATTGCTTGACCTTACTAACAACCCAGATCCTCCTAATTCATTTACCCAGCTGTGATGACTGCTTATACTCCCATTCATATCCTGTATTTTTAATGACTGACAGATTTCATGAGCTCAACAGTATCACAGGAGTCTGCTAGAATTACATTTTTTGTTACCTAGGAAAGAAAAGCTAAACTTTTTTTTTTTGTACATTTTAGGAGAGGTTGCCAGTGCGATGCCAATTCTTCCTTACTAAGGCACTCCAGCCTTGTAGTAAAAATTGAGGTTTGTTCGCAGTGCCACTTTTTTGTTCTAATAAAAAAAAAAAAAACCTAAATACACACATAAAATACATACATACTGTATATGAGAACCTTCTACCTGCTAAAGGGCTATATTCCTGTCCATTCATTCTTGATGTATACACAGCCAAGTCTGACAGCACAGCCGGCCTAGAGACCGGACTTTACTCTGCTGCAGTTAAGTGCTGGCCCTACCTGTGAGTGGACTGTGAAGGATCACACCAACATATTCCAATGCATAAAACATCGAAGTACAAATGTTTTTTTTTTTTTTTGTTTTCAAACTAAGCATTTACAATCACTTTAATGATTGTTAAGCAGTTGGTTAGAAAGCTTGCTGTTCTAAGAGAACGTTTATTCAACAGGTACCAGGTGCACACCCGATGCCTTTGATTGAGATCTCAGACAGTGTAGATCACAAGCAAAATGCACAGAGCTAATCAGAGCAGTTCTGTGCCCTGTGTTAGCTGTGAACCAATCTCAAGGATTACGTGTGTAAACACTGGCTGTGATAAGCAGCTGGCCCTCCCCTTCTTCAAAAAAAGGGCTCTGTGTGAGAGGAAGGAGGAAATTTTGGGTACCTAAAAGGAGATATAAAAAAAAAGAATATGTTTTTGACTAAATTTATGAAAAACTATATCAAAATAGTTTTTTTCCCCTATATAGTAAAAATATAAATTGTGATTAAATGCCACCAAAGGAAAGCTCTATAAAAGTCTAAAAAAAAGTTTATATAAAATTCATTAGGGCACAGTTTTGCCAGACTGAGCAACAATCAGTCAAAGTATCACAGCATTGAAAACTGAAAGTTGCCCTAGAATGGAAGTGGGTGCAATATGTTGGTACTGAGGTGGGTAATTACTACATACCCACATGAACTGGTACTTTTTTCCCAATAAGCCTGGAGTTCAGCTTTAATTTGACCCAAGCTCCATATTTTGTCTAATATACCACATGCAAATGACTGAAAGATCTCAAATCAGAGACTACCTACCTAGTGCTGCATTCCTGGTTTGCAATCAAATCCTGATGAAGTACTGCGTCTGTTGTGTGCATAGATTATAATGGGTGGTCAGTCAATTTGACAGGAATCTATGAGCAGTCTATGCAGTGACAAGCAAATGAGTACAGCATAATCTGCTGGTTTGGATTCAGAAGTAAAAAAAAAAAAGCTGATAGCAGTACCAGTCAGGTGCCTGGAAACGAGGCTTTGCTCTCAGCTAAGGTCTCTTATCACATATTTGTATTTGGTGAGGAGCAAAACGTGGGGCAGCCTGAAGTATAATTTGGTTTGACAGTTCTGTGAACCCCATTCTCAAATGTTAATTTAAATATAAGTGAACGGTCTTGTTCAGATAGATACAGAGGCCGAAAATGCTAAAAGTTTCATGGAGAAAACATTGCTCCAAGCTCTCTTCAGTGTTGAGCACAAGATGAAAATCCTGGCAATTGCTTGCAGGGCCTCTGTTGAAGAGGCCATAGCTACACTGGCATTTTCAGCATGAGAGAAAAAGTTGGCATTCATGCTGGATATGTCATGGAAACTAAAAGCAGATAACGTGACTAGTTTAACACATACAAGTAGTACGGCCAGTCAACAGAAAAAAACATTAATGGGCAAGTAAAGAATGTGCAGTGGTCAAGTAGTTCACACTTCACCTGGCAGCACTAGGGTTGTCCATTCTAATCCCAACCACAGCAATACCTGCTTGGAGTTTGCATGTTCTCCCTGTGCATGCATAGGATTCCTCCGGGTACTCAGGTTTCCTCCTACACTCCAAAGACATACTGGTAGGATGATTGACTCCTGTCTAAATTGGCCCCAGTATGTGTATGTATGAATGTGAGTTAGGGACCTTAGATTGTAAGTTCCTTAGGGACTGATGTGAATGTACAATGTGCTGTGTAAATTTCCAGCTCTGTATAAGTAACTAACAAAAATTAAATAAATTGGTTTCAGTAATGCCCAATAATCAATAGGATGTGTGCTGATGAAATATACAAGTGTACAAGGGAGGCAGAAAATGAGCCCCAACCTTGTTCTTCAAAATGAACCATAGTGTCTCTATGATATTGAGGTCCAGCGAATGCGGCGCCCAGGGAAAGTAAGAGACTTCATCTGCGTGCTCAGTAAACCACGGTTTGACAACACTAGCTGTGTGAAATGGAGCATTATCATCTTTATAAATGGTGCTCTTTTTTTGAAGAATGACTGCACCATGGGGTGCACATGGTGGGACAAAGTTTGTGCATAGTCGCTGGCAGTGACTTTCAAGGTGATGTTGGGGCCTTCAGAATCCAAAGATATGGTTGCCCAAGCCATGACTGTGCCACCACCATGCTTTACTGTTGGCAGAAGACCATCCTGCTGGTAAGCATGAGACTGTTTGCCACAAGTAAACACGTCTGGTGGTTGGGAACAGTGTGAAACTTGAGTCATCTGACTATATTACAGGCTTCCATTGATTGAAAGACTACAATTTATGGGTGTTGCACCATTCTCTCCTCGCCTAGGCATTATTAGTAACTAGAGGTTTGTCAATTGCAGTGTATCTGTGAATGTTTTGCTTATGGAGTGCCCTCCATAGTTTTTGTGGACACATGCTTTGGAAGACTGAGTGAGCTCTGCAGTCACTTTTGCAGTGGTTGTTTTCTTATTTTGGGTCACAATCCTGTGCAATGTTCTTTTGTCTCCTTTGGTCAGTTGACCAGGTCAGCCGTGCTTATACTTATCAAGCAATGTTTTGTCCAGAAACTGTATATGCCTTACCTTTTATACTGTACCTCACGACACTGCAAATAAATTGGCAACTCTAGTCACAGACGCACCAGCTAAGCGAGCACCAACAATTTGCCCTCTTTGAAAGTCAGTAAGCTCTGACGTGACTCTGTATTACTATCAGTGCACGCAGTGAAAGGCAAAAGTGGGGGTTCCCACATGTTAGCTCCGTGTCTCATCACAAAGCGGAAACAAAAGAATGTTACTTCATTTCCACTTTCAATGCAAAATATGTAGTCACTTTCAGCCCAGCAAAATCATGTAGTGTTTCCATATTTTTGACCAACCCCTGTAGTTTTGTACCATTTTAACAAGAGTGTCACAAGACTTCAAAGTACACAGAAGGGATCCTCATCACTTCTTCCCCAGGATCAGACCATACAGTACAGACTACAGAGCAGAGAGAACTGTACATTTGATGGAGGAAAGACACTTTCCACATGTTTCTTTCCTAAAAATTTGCAGTGACTAGGAGATCCAATAGTGTGGTTGGTAGCAAGTGGATGAAGAGGACAACCAAGCACAGAAACAGGGATGAGTAATCTCCTCAACAAGTAACTAATGCCGCCACCGGATGAAGTGATGCACAGGTCAAAGTAGCAGATAAGGCAAAATATTTAGTTAGAATTTATAGGAAAGAATTCATTATTATCAGTGTTGCAATGCTCCTTTGTGCCTTAAAAGGCCGTGCTTTAAAAGGCGCCAAGATGGAAGAGGGTTTCTTAACAAGGACCCATCATGTATTGCTGAATAGTATCTTGCATAACACATCCTATTGGTCTAGCCTTCTTGTTATACCCTACTTACACGGAGTAAGCTTGCAATTCTTTTTCTGCACAACTCTTAACACCGCTCTGCTGAATTTCTGCTGCAGTGACACCTTACAACCTAACATCATTAGGCATGCCATTCAATATTGGCAGTCTAAATACAGCAGTGGTTGGGCTGTATGGCAATTCATGGTAAAGCATTACTGTGTATTGTTGTGTGCCACATCGGAAAAAAATATTGCCCCTTTTTGTCTACTTTGGTGCATCAGCAGTCCATTCAAAATTAATGGCCTTCCTCAAAACAAACATGGATTAGCACAAGGCACCAAAGCGACTAAATCTAAATAGGTTTCACAAATTAATACAAATCACGGAAGTCTGTATCTTATTTTGCATCATGACTCGTCCGCTCTCATTTTTACCAAACCTACCCAAATACAACTGCAAATGGCAGATTAGAACCTGCCTTGAAAATGCAATGCAAAACTCATATGGCAAGTACGGCATTTATTACAACTCCATCAGTATATGAAGAATGATCATTTCCAAACACCATATAACATTAAATCATCACCAAGGTCTGCAGAAAGAATACAAGTGAGATAAAGTGCAGCCAGGCTTCTTACCAATTGCTGTTGTTGCAGCAGATCGCTGATGGTATGGTGAGCCTGCTCCAGCTTACTGCTGGACTCATCATTCTGCTGTTTCATGGTGGCCAGCTCCCGTTTTATGAGGTAGTTTTCCTCTGCCTCCTGGGCCCTTGTCACTTGTCCCTTTGGACATAATTTTAAGGTTTTTGAGCAATCCAGATGAAAATGGAAAAATAGCTTTCTGAGGGCATGTGCAAACAATTAACTCACAGCAAAGCATACGCCTAAAATGCATATGTTAGTACACACAGCGGGGCAGGCGTTTTGTAGGACAATTTACAGGCTATTGTCTGGGATAAATTTGATACTTTGCAGATCATTATAAAGGCCATAGTCTATTCCGAAAAGCACAAACTGCATTTTATTTCCAAAATAGGTTGTTTTAGATCTTGCCTTTATGTAAAATGACGCATATAAATGCCTCATAAAAAGCTTCCATTTATACTCCCAGCATCACAGAAGCTCTCAGTGAACATCCCACACACTGTTTCATAAACCGTATGCTTCTTTAATCATCAATGACAATAAAATAATGGATTAGGGCCAGAACTAAAGTGTGAGGCCAGTCTTGACTAGGTTACAATAATTGGGACACACACACGACAAATGAATAAATGGAATGTGTAGACCACCAAACAAATGCATAAAAGTAGTGAATCTCAGTTGTCTACGAACAGTGCTTTTGGGAGGTAGCATTATGCAACATCAAAAAGTAATGCAATATTCAAAAATAAAAAATAAATATATATATATATATATATATATATATATATATATATATATATATATATATATATATATATATTTATTTTTATTTCCCCAGCATCAGCAGCAGTTCCCAGCTGCATTAGATTGCCTAAACAGCCTTAATTATGATTCTGGTTTCAAACTAAAATACGTTTGCATACTTAACTACATTATCAAAATACAAAATGACTGCCCTTCTGTGTGCAAGTAGAGGCTGTGTACTAAACCCCTCAGAAGCTTTTACAATTAAACTTACAGACATCAATTCTGGACTGCATTATTGGAGCTTGTTCAATAACTAAAAATGGAGCAAGCATAATGAAGATGAGATTTGTCATTCCAATTTGGTTTTAGTTCATGCAAAATGATCAAGCTTGGATCATGCAATGCAGTTAGTTTTTATGATCATTTCAGAAAAATGTTAATTAGTTGAACCAATAGTTTTATTCAAATGATTTAAAAGGGAATGGGGAGGTTAGAAACATTGGATTAGGGCAGCGTGCAGTTCACCATGATTCTGCGTTAACATATTAATACTGTTACTCTATTTTACAATTAGCGGGGGTAAGATAGTTTACTTAGATGCATGTAAAAATAAGGCATGCATCACCCCAGAGCAAAAAAACAAAAAAAACATTAAAATATTGTACCATCTAGGGTCTGGGTATTACTGAGGATAAAATGTAATGACAATACCTGAATCAATCTATCTGCCAAGGATGCACTTTCCTATGAAAAAGGAAAAATTCAGAAAGAATTTCAGAAAAGACAGATGAAAAATAAAGTGACAAGAAAATAAAATCAGGTGTGTAGTGTCAGTATGTCTCCTACCTCCTTTGAATACAGCAAGAGACCAAGTATAGCTACTGAAAGTTTAAAAATGACAACAAAAAGGATGAACAATTTATATGTTTGCCAAAAATCCTATTGGATATCCTTAATGTAATTTCTGATTTCCCCCCTCATACAATGCCGCACATCAGGAATTTCCCCCTCTTTCTTTTTTTCAATACAGACAGGTTTACCTGCCAATGTTTTTCCTTAGTATTCAGTAAAAAGCCTCAATTCTGCAGTACAGCCATTCTAAAACATAAAGGGGGGGGGTTGAAAATTTTTAAGATTGATGTTTTAAGCTACAAAAACTGTTGCTGCAATTAGCAGTACAAAAATCATTTGGTATTGTTTACCAAGTATATCTTTGATATTCGTTATACTTTTATTAGCCCAAAAAAGCAAAGATTTTAAAGAATAGTTTCAAAGGAGGTAGCTCTTTTTAAATTTGGAAGTGCGTAGAATGTCGTGCAAAAGCAAAGATTTCATAGACAGAAGATCATTTAATGACATGTGCAGGGTGAAATAAATAGCATGGAATCATTAATGCATTCTTAAACCCTCTTAGAACCAGATCTAAAGTAGGATTGTTTTGCCCAAAACAGTCTGGATGAACAGAGACCAGTAAGTGCAGAAACTATTGTTTCTAAAGATCTGCAAATCACATTGCCTTACTATATTTCCACAACAGCAAAATTATTGTTGGCATAAACCAAAAAGTCACTCAATCAAATGAACTTCCCTGCAAAAAAGAGCTGTTAGTTTGTACCATTTTATATTTTTCATATGTTCAACATATTTCTTGCTTATGTCATCATTTGAAATGTCTTTAATGCAGTTTTCACATTACTGATGCTATTAAACAATGAAAGTAGAGAGAAAATAGTCAATATAAGAGGCACATTGTAAAAACATGTTTTTTCAATAGAGAACAAGCTAATGAGGAAAGCAATGACACACAATGAGAAACGTTGAAGTGGATTGAAAGCTTTTTTTTTGTGTCCTAAAGAGGAACTTTACTCTCTCAAATCAACATGGACTATTTTTAATCCTGCTGCTGCTAGCATTAGTGAATAGGTAGGAACGTATATCATATTTACGTGCTTTAAAGTGGTTGTAAATGTAAAGGCTCAAAGTGTTTTATATTATATGCAGGAAGGTAAAAAAAAAAAAACCCCAACATCTCTGTGCAGCATACTCTTCCCCCCCCCCCCCCCCCCAGCCCCAATACTCACCTAAGCCCCCTCTCGATCCAGCGATGTGCACTGGAGACTTGGCTATCCTGGGACTACCTCTCCTCATTAGCTGACACAGAATTAGAAGCCATTGGGCCAGTGAGCCAATGAGGATAGAGGGGGTGGGGTTGAGGTGTGGTTGTGTGTGTGAATGGGCACATGGAGCAGTAGCTGGGGAGTGCGCATGCTCAGGTGCCCCCATAGCAAGCGGTTTGCTGTGGGGGCACCCGACAGGATGGAAGAGCCAGGAGTGCCGGTGGGGGACCTGAGAAGAGGAGGATCCGGGCTGCTCTGTGCAAAACCACTGCACACAACAGGTAAGTATAGACGTGTTTTTTGTTAACATAAGCCTTTAGAATCACATTAAACTTTTTTTTTTTTTTTTTTTGTTACTTACAGGTTTCTGGCCTTGGCAAATGATGTCATACATTCCAGAAGTAATCAGGAGGGGTTTTCTCAGCTAAGTGCACCCACCTCTTTGCATAGCTAAACTAAGGGCAGGTGGATTGCGGGACGTAAATGCTACATTAATCATTTACCCTTACTCAAGATCGCTGTGGCCAGGAATGCTAGGGGGATATTATCCAAAGGGATTTCTCAACAAAATAAATAGTGTTTTTGGTCTGTGGTGTTCGAATACAGTGTAGTGCCATTTTAAGGACACAGGCAAGAGTTTTCTAGAACTTGTGTCCAATTCATATTTACAATTGGATTTATAATGGGGGACAGAATTTTGACTGATTTTACAGATTTAAGAAATTAGTGGGAGTCAGAGAGCACTGCCATCCAGATAATAGCAATATATCTGTGCTGGGTGGGTGTACTTTATAAATGTTTATGAGAAAGAACAGTCAATTTTATTTTAAAAAATACCCTAGCTACTCTTGCTCTGATCACTCTCCTATTCAGACACATTTCCAAATGACATATGAGGAAAGCATTTAGCTTGGTTTATTGTAAAAGGGAATTATGTTAAGAATAAAAAAAACATACATACACACACATATATACACACACACATACAGTATCTCACAGAAGTGAGTGCAACACTCACATTTCTGTAAATATTGTATTATATCTTTTCATGTGACAACACTGAGGATATGAAACTTTGCTACAACAATGTGAAGTAGTGAGTGTACAGCTTGTATAACAGTGTAACTTTGCTGTCCCCTCAAGTAACTCAACACACAATCATTAATGTCTAAACCGCTGGCAACAAAAGTGAGTACACCCCTAAGTGCAAATGTCCAAATTGGGCCCAATTAGCCATTTTCCCTCCCTGGTGTCATGTGACTCGTTAGTGTTACAAGGTCTCAGGTGTGAATAGGGGAGCAGGTGTGTTAAATTTGGTGTTATCGTTCTCATACTGGTCACTGAAAGTTCAACATGGCACCTCATGGCAAAGAACTCTGAGGAAAAAAAAAAAAAAAAAAAAAAAAAAAAAAAAATTGTTGCTCTACATAAAGATGGCCCAGGCTATAAGAAGATTGCCAAGACCCTGAAACTGAGCTGCAGCACGGTGGTCAAGACCAAACAGCCGTTTAACAGGACAGGTTCCACTCAGAACAGGCCTCACCATGGTTGACCAAAGAAGTTGTGTGCATGTGCTCAGCGTCATATCCAGAGGTTGTCTTTGGGAAATAGACGTATGAGTGCTGCTTGCATTGCTGCAGAGGTTGAAGGGGTGGTGGGGGGGTCAGCCTGTCAGTGCTCAGACCATACGCCGCACACTGCATCAAATTGGTCTGCATGGCTGTTGTCCCAGAAGAAAGCCTGCAAACAGTTTGCTGATGACAAACAGACTAAGGACATGGATTAATGGAACCATGTCCTCTGGTCTGATGAGACCAAGATAAACTTATTTGGTTCAGATGGTGTCAAGCGTGTGTGGCGGCAACCAGGTGAGGAGTACAAAGACAAGTGTGTCTTGCCTACAGTCAAGCATGGTGGTGGCAGTGTCATGGTCTGGGGCTGCATGAGTGCTGCTGGCACTGGGGAGCTACAGTTCATTGAGGGAACCATGAATGCCAACAGGTACTGTGACATAGTGAAGCAGGGCATGATCCCCTCCCTTTGGAGACTGGGCAGCAGGGCAGTATTTAACATAACCCCAAACACACCTCCAAGACTACCACTGCCTTGCTAAAGAAGCTGAGGGTAAAGGTGATGGACTGGCCATGCATGTCTCCACACCTAAACCCTATTGAGCATCTGTGGGGCATCCTCAAAACGGAAGGTGGAGGAGCGCAAGGTCTCTAACATCCACCAGCTCCGTGATGTCATCCTGGAGGAGTGGAAGAGGACTCCAGTGGCAACCTGTGAAGCTCTGGTGAACTCCATGCCCAAGAGGGTTAAGGCAGTGCTGGTAAATAATGGTGGCCACACAAAATATTGACACTTTGGGCCCAATTTGGACATTTTCACTTAGGAGTGTACTCACTTTTGTTGCCAGCTGTTTAGACATTAATGGCTGTGTGTTGAGTTATTTTGAGGGGACAGCAAATTTACACTGTTATACAAGCTGTACACTCACTACTTTACATTGTAGCAAAGTGTCAATTCTTCAGCGTTGTCACATGAAAAGATAGTGTAAAATATTTACAAAAATGTGAGGGGTGAATCACTTCTGTGAGATACTGTGTGTGTAATATTAATAAATATATATACACATATATATATATATATATATATACACACACACACACACACACACATATACCACACACACACATACGTACACATATACACAAACACATACATATATACACACCCACAGTTGGTATAGAAAAGAATAATCACATTTTGTTGCTTTGCAGCCTGAAAAGACAGACACTTTTTTGTTTTATCCAGCTGTATTTACTCAATATAACTTATAACATCCAAGTAAAAGATAACACCAACATGTCAATTCAATTTTAGTCTCATCTGACCATAACATCTTTTTCCATGTGGCCTCAGAATCTTCAAGGTGCGTTTTGGCAAAGCTCAGTTGTGACTGCATGTGGCCTTTGAGTGTTTTATTCTTGCAACCCTCCCATACAAGCCACTTTTGTGGAGAAATTTTGAAATTGTTGTCACATGCACACAACGACCACTGTTTGTCATACATTCCTGCAACTACTTTAGAGTTGTTATAGACCTCTTGGTAGTCTCTCGGACCAGTTTCCTCCTGGCTCTTTCAACCAGTCTGGAGTGACATCCTAATCCAGGGAGGGTCTCTGTTGTACCAAATACCTTCCACTTCTTAATAATAGACTTCACTCTTCTAAGCATTATTATTATATACAGGATTTATATAGTCAATTTCACTACCAGGGACTGAAATGCTCCAGACAAACTCTTTGCATGCGGAGCTAAACAAAATGACCACAGTTGATCACAGTTAGAGGGGAGTACAACTGGGGGAATCAGTGGTGGAGAAAGATCTGGGAATTCTCGGAGATCACAAGCTTAATAATGGCATGCAATGCCAAGCTGCAGTTTCTAAAGCGAGCAAAATCCTCTCTTCCATTAAAAAGAGGTATAGACTCCAAAAGAGAGATATCATTTTACCCCGGTACAAATCATTAGTAATACCTCATCTAGAATATGCAGTTCAATTTTGGTCACCAATTCACAAAAAGAACATTGGGGAACTGGGAGAAAGTACAGAAGGGCAAC